GTCCAAGCAATGGAGGCCTGTTGGGTGGGGAGATTCATGCATTTCTGAAAGGTTTTGGTGGCGGTGACGGTGGTGCAGTGGGCGGAGAACGCGGCGGAGATGGAAGAAAAGAGGAGGAGAAGGAGGAGGAGGAGGCGGCGGAGCATGGTGGCCGGCGGAGGAGGAGATGAAATGAAGTGGGAAAATTAGTGTGGGTTATGAAATGATGTGTGTGTTTTTTTGAGCAATTTAGAAGCATTGGGATTGTGATGCATCATTATGTCCACTTAGCTACTTTGTGGGAAATTTCACCAAACTTTGCTTTGAAGACAAGTCACTCTTCATTTCTATGGTTTGGTAGACCATAAAGACTCCATTTTTCCCTTTCAATATTGGATTCATCATATTGTTTGATACAATATAATCATCTCATTCATCTAATTTTTAGCCTAAATTAAATAAATGGGGTGGTTAAGTTACAATTTAATTTAATTATTATTATTATTTTTTTGGTGTCGTGTGGAGTGGATCTCGCCTAAGTAATGGTTGGACTCAAAGTAATAACATTAGAGCATATATCAATTTGGTGGACGAAATTGTAAAGAAAGAAATTTCAACATTTGACTTTTGATATATGTCGTAACTAATTGAGTTAGAATTATATTGGTCAATCTTAGTTGTGTTATTATATTTTAAAATTTTTCAGAATAGTAAAACATAACAAAAATATAATAAACTTAATCTTATACCGATAGTAGCACTACAAATAAGATTAATCTCGACCTCTTTTCTATTTTTCAATCAAAATAATATTTACGAGATGAAAACAAAATGCTTATTTTGCTCCCACCGAAATACCACAATGACTAATTTACTTTTGTTGTTTCTCAATTTGTCTTTATTTGTACTAGAAAAAAATCATAATAATGTTTAAAAAATTGACCAATATTATTATTATTTTTATCATTACTAACCATTTTTAAAATTTTCCTATTTTACAAGGTTCAATTTTTGCTTTGGGCTTCATGAGATGAAAGCCCAACTTAGTACAGGGCCCATCAATTGGGCCGAAAGCCCAGTGATGTTGGGGCTGGGTCATGTAATTGGTGGGCTTCTCTCGAAATTTGCAGTTCGGCTTCTTCTTCACTGTCTTTGCTGCTGCAGATTGAACACTCCATCAGTGTTCGTCGGGAATCGAAGAGCTCTGACAGTGAGAATTGAGAGGCAGAGATGAAGAAAAATGGAGTGAGTCTTGAAGGGGAAAGGGTAATTTTGGTGCCTTACATGGAAGCGCATGTCCCCAAGTATCACGAATGGATGAAAGACCCAACTCTGCTTCAAGCCACCGGCTCCGAGCCCCTCACGCTCGATCAAGAGTACCAGATGCAGCAATCATGGACCCAGGACCCAAAAAGTTCTCATTCTCTCTCTTTCCCTCTTTCTCCATGTTGTGCGATTTGTTTGCTCCCTTTCATACCATGTCGTCCCTGATCAAACATTTATCTGGGTTGTCTTTGATTCTTGATATTGGAACGAAATAACAATATATGTATGTTTGATTTCGGAATCGTTTAGCTGGGCTGCGATATTTTACATTTTTTGAATTTGGGGGTGGCTTTTTCAGAGCAGACTTTCATTGTGCTGGATAAGGAATTGGTTGAGGGAAAATTCATCCATGGAGATCCTGCTGTTGAAGGTCAGTTGTTTCTTTGGTCTTTAACTGATGATGTGGAGTTGCTTTGTCTATACGCTTTGTCTATGATTCTATATTGTTAGTGTGGATGCTGACCGTATGCCCATTTTCAGCCATGGTTGGTGATGTTAACCTATACATGAATGATGTGGATGATTCCCTTTTAGCAGAGATTGAAATAATGATAGCTGAACCCAACTGGTACAAGATTTTTTTTTCCTTGGATGCCTGAAGTTCTTGTAGTTGTAGTATTGTATTGGTTTTTTGCAGTTTTTGATTTCAGCTCTTTTTCTCTTCAAAGAACATGAAGAAGTTCTGTCAATGTGGACATATACATGAGTTCTGCACTGCCTAATTCCATGTTGTGCTTCTCTTCGATAGATCTTGATTATTGATTTTTCTATAAGAAAACTTATCCGTTTTGTAATATTCTGGTTGAGCTATGGGAAGTAACTACCTGGTTATCTTATTCTTATAACTGGTTCGACATAAGAGGCAAATGGAATGCAGCAATGAATTTTTAGATTGCAAATCTATTAGCCAATCTCTTCCCCATTTTCCTTGCAATGTCATGGGTTCATTCATGGCTATATGTCAGGATTATATTGTGAAAGGTTTTGTTCTTCATTCGCTAGTTTCATTTTGTTATGGGATCAATGCATTACAGTGTCCACTAAACTTCTTACAACTGTGCTTTTGTTAGCGTAGCCGTGGTAAAGGACTTGGGAAAGAATCCATCCTGATGATGATGGCATTTGCAGTCAAGAACCTCGGGATGCATATCTTCCGGGCAAAAATTGGAGAATTGAATGAAGGGTCTCTCACTTTGTTCAAAAAATTGGTTGGTCTCTCCCTCCAGAAAAGATTCAATTTCTTGAAATAAGATTATAAATTTTTGTAGAGTTGAATACAAGTGAATCTGCACCGACCCATATCAGCATATTTTGTTTTCAACAACAATTTACCTTTCTCCATTAAAATTAAAATTGTGTTATAACCCAGGTTCGGGCCTCGGTGGGTGTGGGTGCCCCAGTACAGAGCAAAGCTCCGACTCCCGATAAAAAAAAAAATCAATATTGTATTATAATTAGTTTTCCGTCTGCCTCTTGAACTAGTCCTTCTGTAAGGTTCACTAAAAGCTCCCTTTTGATTGTTGTAGGGCTTTGAAGAGACTTCTTACAGTGAAATCTTCAAGGAGGTGAGCTCCCTTTTTCTTTTCTTTTATTTTTTCTCTCTCTCCATAATTATTAGCAGCTCCCAAAACAGCTCTGCATCTGTTTATTATTTGACTTAGTGCAGTATAACAGTAACTTAGCTTAAGGAAAACCTTACCTCTTAATTTTCAAGGAAATGTGTCAAAATTTCTTTGACTAAGATGCCATGTCGAATGATTTATCGACTACGTATGTGTATGTGTATATATATTACGTTTTTGGTCTAATAGTTGTGAGACGACCTTGTTCACACAAACGAATTATTGGTTTTGTACCAACCATAATGGAAAGGCTAGGAAGTTTTTCATGTTTTTTTCTTTCATCCATCCTCATTGGAGAGTTATACTTTTAAGACATTAAGCATGTTATATTGTCACGTAAACCCATGGACCATATTGGATTCTGACTTCACTTCATTTGCTTTTGCATATTTGGGAAGGTAACTTTGGAGTTAAAGGTAACAAAGTCCAAGCATGAGGAGCTGTTGGATGTTTTTGGTAGAATAGTAACTCACAACTAGCACCCGATGGACTTTCCCGCCCTCTCTGGAATTTCGTTTCCTAAACATTTAGATACAAGAAACTCTTGACCTTATGTGATACTTGAGCAAGAAGCAATACAAAATACACAAGATGCCCTTCTGTAGAATAAGACCAAAGTTATGACTTTCTTACGATATATTTCTCTCCTTTATGTCATCGAAACGTCATATTTTCATCATGTTAGTGTGTGGTGTGTGTTTTGCCTTTCCATCTTGTGTGTTTCTGTAGGTTTTCAAGATGCTTGCTTGGTTTGACCATCTGATGTTGACTTGTGGAGACTAGTCTAGAAGCTCCAATCTCATTGCCTCTACAATTTGGCATCTTCAGAAAGACTTGAAGGCATGGCAGGTATCATGTCTCTGTTCTTACATGAGCATTCAAGTTGGTCCCTCTTAAGTTTGATTAATAGTAACAACTGAAATGTCCCTGAAGCTGTTGAAACTTCCCATTTTCGAGTATCTGAGAATGGGAACTGATGAAAATGTTTTTGGGTAATCGATGGGCCACTCGAACCTACAAAATATTGGTCATGGTCTTTAACAAAATTCTACCCCATCAAACACGTTCTTTTGATCTTCCCATAACTACAACCAGAAAAACGAAGGGACAACGTAATCTTGGCGATTTCGTATCCAAAACGATCAATGCCAAATAACCGAAATCACATCCCATCCATCCTAGTTTCCAATTTATGATATTAGATATAACCCCTTTGATGGGTGGTGAACAGATGTAGGGAGAGAAAATTTTGACTTGTTTTTAAGAACCCATGAATATTTTATGGCAATTATGAGCCCCAATTAGGGAATGAGTCCACAAAATTAGGCAATTGAATCATAAATTCAAACCCTATTAAAGAAGATATTGTGACTTCTTGGTGTTGCAGCTGCTGTGAAAAACCCAATGGAGAATTCTGTGTTCCCATTGATGGTTAGGATTGTTCTCTTTATTTTCCAAGAAAATCTTGTTTGTATATGTGGAATTTTAGGCATGGAGAAAAGGCAGAGGTCTATAAAGGCTGTGGGGGCTGATTTGGTCATTTTCCTCTCATTTCCCATTGTGACCAAGCCTTTTGCTCTTGGTCAATTCACTTTTTGTATGCAACTGGATGGAGCCATGAAGGAAATATCTGTCATCATGCTTCTCCCAAAAGTATCCACTAAATTCATTCTCTTTTAGTTCATCTTAATTTAAAAAATTGTATAAAAAAGTTAAAGTAAACAAATACTTTTGGTTCCTCTAATTTTAATTTTATTGAAGTGACTAAACTTTAGTTTGTGACGATTTAGTCTCTGTATTTTCTAATTGATAACAATTTAATTCCTGAACGTAGTATGGAACAATTTAGTCCTGGCTATAAAGAATGTCAGTAAAATTTAAGTGTTGATTTTTATTATATAATGATTTAGTTTTTGTAATTTACAAATACATCTGACTCTTCATCAATCTATATGTAGAATAAACTTTGTTAAAGCTTAACATTTTGCACAATATGGATTAAATCGTTACAAATTAGTTATATATTGAAGCTTGAAGGTACAACGACTAAATCATTATAAATTAAAGTTTAAGGATTACATCGTACTTTTTTAACCAAAATTAAAAGTTTTGATTCTCTCCGTATATAAAATAAGAACGTAAAATCTTATCCATTTTTTTAAAAATTTATGGCTTCGTCCTTACGTATGCATAGGATGTACTTGTATGTATCGTCACATAATGAAAATACATACTTTTGCCCAAATATTTATCTATATACATACGTTCGGGTTAGATGTTTTATGTTGAAAGGAATAGATTTTTGACTCGTAATCTTATCACAAATTAGTTCGTAAAATATGAAGTCTATAAATGCATACAAACAAACCAATAAAAATTAAATTTACAAGTTAAAAAGACTTTTACTTAACAATAGTTAGGATGTCAAATCTCAAAGTCTATTTCTTTCTAAACAAAAAAAGGCAAATATTAATTATAGTAAATAAATAAATATCAGTTTGGTGATTAATTAATAATGTAAGCAAGAGACCAAGACAACATAAATTAAAGTATATGGAGTGGTGGGCCTGCTCCAAATTTAAGCAATTATTTGAATTGATGTAACTTATAAGAATATTAATTAGAATATTTAAATTGGGTTAGATAGAAGGCACAATAAAGAGGGAGCAGTTGGGGTATAAATTAATTGGAAGTATCATTATCAAAGCATATCATAAAGATTGCAACCATGTAAAATAAATTAAAAGCTTACAAACAATGTCACCTTCAATCAACCTAATATTGGCCCCAAAACACATAAACCCTAGGGAGCTGATATTTGGATTACATCTTGGTATGTTATGAGAAAATTTCCATCGGGTATTAAATTTTCGTTGACATGTCGACATTTGCATCGACGTTTTTACATGTGCATGGGTGTGACATCACCATGAGAGTAAAAAAAGAATTCAGAAAATCGAAAAAATAACAATATTTGTTATGAATTTTTTATTTGTATGGTTTTTTTTTTTTAGAAATATCCATCTACATTTACATTTTATTGATTTTTATCGACATTTTTATAAAAGTGAAACTTCGACATTTTCATCAACAACAACATCTACTCGTGGATGCCCATTTGTTTTGCCACGTTGTTAAATATATATTTTTTAACGATACTATATATTTATTGGGAAGCAACTTATAGGCATGAAATTAGATTATATATATCCTAACTCAAATATAAGTCTAATTAAATTTATACACTCATTTAAATCATCTAATTGTATAAATAAAAATTTTATCCAAAGACAAAAACTTTTTACATCTTGAAAGTAAAAATATGTTAAATCATTTTTTTTCTTTGGTGGTAAATTGGTGTTAAATAATTGTTATAAAAACAAAAAAATGTTACTTTGATTTTAGGCTGATTGTTTTTCAAGAAACATCTCCCATTTCTTCATCCCATCTCTTTCAATCTCAACCACATGACTTTCACCTCCAAAATTAGCCAAAAATATTTGATTTTTATTTTTCTCATATATGATGTATGTTTATAGAATTTTTTTTCTCCATGTCCCTGATTTTGACATCATCTTATGCATATTATAAGAAAAGAAACTTTGCCATAAGAAAGATATTATGTAATATTAGAAGAAATGTAACAAGATTGATTTTTACACCTATTTTTCAAGGAAATTATGTAATAATATTATCCTATTCGACTAGTTTATTTGGCCGCCAAGCACATATACCATGTTGGCATCTATGCACGATAATGAAAAAAAATCACGTCATATCTATTATTAACTTTTGTGAGGGACTGATTCTTTTGACTCATCGATCTCATTTTGAATTAATTAGTTCGTTATTCCATCTCAAAATCAAATTGACAATAGAAGGAGTCGTCATATCTATTATAGACCTTTGTAATGTCTATTTTATTTTTAACGTGGATCCTTAACCGTTAAATATTGSAAAAGAAAAATAAAACAGATTGAAAATTTTGAAAAGAAAACAAAAGGCTTAGTCAAACGGGTGACTTGGCAAGAAATAATACTTTTTTCCACACCTAAAAAAGGGAAAAAGAAAATCAATTATTTTGCAGGGCCGTCACGCGAGGTTCGTGTTACAGTTAAATTGGTTACAGGCCGTTATTTGGACGTTAAAACAATTCCCAAGTTTTATGCATTTTCACATGCAATGCCATATATACGTTAGCCATAAGCCACTATTTTTTCTAAGAAATTCCAAAAAAAAAAAAGAAAATATTTATTTTATAATAAAAATAGAATAAACATATTTTTACTAGAACTGATAACAAAGGATTTATATTTTTTTCCTTAAAAAGAACGAAATATATGTAAAAGAGTGAGTGAGAGACCAGAGTAAATTCTTGTTAATAGAAGAGTATTTGATCATATAAAAATGATGAGGTTTGGTTGCAAAGTTCAAACTTTAGTTACCAACGTACGAAGACCTGCAAAATAGAGTTAGCACTCCGATGCTGAAGGCAGTGTACGCTATCCGATTAATACTCGAGAGAGAATATTGTTTCGTGTATTTAAAAAGTGAGGCGGGGTTCTCTATTTATAGAGGCGGGCTCCCGACAGAGTTCTCATCCACCTAGGATTATGGTGTCTTGTCAGAGAACATTTATGTCTATTTTGCGCCTACAAATGCTCTTCAAGGTTGCCTCATACCTAGCAAGGGTCGCCCGGTAGATAAGACATGGTTTCGCTTGGCTGCTCTTCATTATTGTCGACTACAAAGCTGCCTGGATTTACTCATATTACTAAGGATCTCATATTAAAATTAAGATGTGAGACCTAACAAATATTTATAATATGCATGAGCTACCCCTCTTATTGCTAATTGGTTTTGAAATGGAATTCCATGAATATTAACATGGTATAAGAACCCAACAAAATAAAACGAGTATTCGATCCAAAAATAAGATGCGACCAAGATTATGAGTCAGAAGAGCCACGATCTTGAAAAGCATATTAGGGTCCCACATTGAAAAGATAAATATATACTATAATTAAATATTTCGACGCTATTAAATAAAATAAATTAAAAGCTTCCAAGGAAGATTTCCTTAAATAACCCTACACAAAAACCCTAGAGAGAGGATATTTATATTTGTTTGGATTACATCATGCTTGTCATGAAAGAAATTTTGATGAAAAGACTCATTTCCACACGTGTGACCACGGATGTGGGTGTGGCAAAAATTTTAGCTATCCGTTATTACACGGGTCCTAAATTGTAACATTTGATAAAAGTTATTATACTAAATCATCGTATGGACGAAAATGTCCGACTAAACTATTAGGTAAAAAAAAACAATAAAAATCAAAATGTTACAAAAACATTACTTTTATTTCGTTCAATATATATTTGATTGTTTTTCAAGAAAATCTCCCATTTCTTCAATTTTTCAATTTCACCACTTGACTTTTCACTTCACCTCCAAAATTAACCACAAAAGGGACAAAAACTTTGATTTCTTTTTCCCCATAATGATGCATCTTTTTTAATGAGTTTAAAAATGGGTACATCTTGAAATTTTTGTGTCAGAATGTTTGATTTTGACATCATCCTTAATATTAATATTAATAATTTAAAATTTTAATTTATTTAAAAAATGTAAAATATTTATTTGTTAATTTAAAAATTTATTATGCTTTTTATTTATAAAATTTTTTGAGAAATATTCATCCACATTTTCATTTGAAAATTTCATGGACATCAACCTTTAAAACTTTGAGTTTTTTTTTTTTTTTTTTAAAGATTCAAAACCTTGATTACAATCAGCCTTATCTCATATATCACGCAATATACAATAAATTTAATAAGATTTAATGTTTATTACAATCCCTAATTTTCAATCATAAAGCTTGAATTAAAAAAATGCAAAAATGGAATCAGGTTTAATAAATTAATATTATAAAAATTTTTAATTCCTTTTCTACATTCTCTAACTCTTCTCTTGTATCATACGTCAGATTAATTGAAAATAATAATTTGACCCTCATGTAATAAACAGGAAATTGTATGAAATAGCTTTGGTTTTGGAGGTTTTTTTTTTCTTTGTAAAAAGCACTTTTCACCTAAAATTTTTAGGTAGAAAATAGGTTGGGAAAAGAAGTTAAAACACCAAAAATACTTGTAGAGTACATTTGACCCAATTACTCAATCGAAGAGCACTCGAGAGTACTTTTAGAATTCCAACATGATAATAATTTATTAGTATGTATAATTTTTAAGATAATGAAAAATGCTTTAAATTAATTAAAAATACTTTTTAACTTTTTATAGTGTTGGATTTGATAATAGGAAGTAATTTATAAAATTCTAAGAGTACTCTAAGAAGTACTTGAGGTATTTTTTTTTAGAAAGTAATATTTTGCCATTGTGAAAGATCATACACTCATCTATTAAAATATTGTACTCTCATTTTAGYCTGTGTACCTTTCTCTAGTTTTAAAAAAGTGACCAAATATTAAAACGTTTAAATACTTTTCCAATTTGGTCACAAAATAAACGAGATAAAGATAAAAATGAATCGACCAAAATAATCACTTTCTAAAAGGACRGAGAACAAAGAACTTTTCAAAAATGTATTTCTGAAAAATGCATTTCTTWMKAAAGAAATGCATTTTTCATATGCATAGAAATAAAATAATATTCGTGGTGATGGGTGTGTGATATAATTAATTTAAAATGATTTAAAAAATAGAGATGGAATGGAATGGAAAATGGATGTGAAAA